AATAGATAGCAAAGTGGGGAATATTTGGGGGGATATATCAATAAAAGATGCATTTGCATGTATATGCCTAGAAAATCTCTGGAAGGGTGCATGAGAAGCAGGTAACTGTGATCACCTCTGCAAACTGGAACAGGCTGGCTGGTGGACAAGGACAGAGAATAACCCTGACTTGCTTTCCACTGGACACCATGTTGCCCCTTGGAAATGCTAGACCACCTGCATATGATTTCTCATTTAAAAAGTGTTTATGGGCTTCCCTGGTGGCGCAGTGATTGAGAGTCCGCCTGCCGATGCAGGGGACACGGGTTCGTGCCCCGGTCCGGGAAGATCCCACATGCCGCGGAGCGGCTGGGCCCGTGAGCCATGGCCGCTGAGCCTGCGCGTCCGGAGCCTGTGCTTCGCAACGGGAGAGGCCACAAAAGTGAGAGGCCCCCGCACCCCAAAAAAAAAAAAAAAAAAAAAAGTGTTTATGTTTTCAAACAATGGCTGCAGCCTTTCCAGACGTTACATCCTCACTATCCAGAAGAAGAGAAAGCGTCTCTTCTCTTGGCTCCTTGCAAGAACGAGGAAGCTTCCCTCCTCGAAGCCCCCGGCCTCCTTTCTCTGGCTGCAGTCGGTCACTGGCCCATCCCTGACCGAGGATGGGATACTCTGGTGCGTGTAAACCAGTCACCTAGAGCTGAGGCGGGGTGTTCATCCCTCCCAAACTGCACAGCTAAGCATGGACAGAAGCATTCCCAAAAGAGATGCCAGGTGTTCTCAGAAATGGGAGAGCGGAGAAGGGATGCTGGAAAGGCAGTCAGAGAGTGTTCACTGAATCATCCATTCCCAAGGCTTAAGAACCACCATCTTTTTTTTTTTTTTTAAATTTTGGCCACATGGGCTCTTCTAGTTGCAGCGCGGGCTTAGTTGCCCCACAGCGTGTGGGATCTTAGTTCCCCGGCCAGGGATCTAACTCACGTCCCCTGTGCTGGAAGGTGGATTCTTAACCACTGGACCACCAGGGAAGTCCCCAGGAACCACCATCTTTAATGGCTATTTTTATGTGTGTTGGCTTTGTGCTTCCAAACGTGTTAAACATCCACGGTCCCCATTGCCGTCTCAGCAGCAGAGGGAAGGTTCCTTTCTGGTCTACCCTAGGCTACGGAGAGTGACAGCATGTGGGGAGTAACGGAGGGGGCGGTTGGCTTGTGCCTGAGGCTCTGCCTGGAAGCTGATCAGCCAATAACTGGGGATGGAGTGTTTGTGGCCCCAAGTTCTGACCATGCCTGGGGTGTTCCCTAGAACACCAGCCCACGCTCTAGGGGCCCGGGCTTCAGAGTTGTGACACACGGGCTCAGTAGTTGTGGCTCGTGGGCTCTAGAGCACAGGCTCAGTAGTTGTGGTGCACGGGCTTAGTTGCTCCGCGGCATGTGGGATCTTCCTGGACCAGGGCTTGAACCCATGTTCTCTGCATTGGCAGGCAGATTCTTAGCCACTGCACCAGCGGGGAAGTCCCACATACTTTGCTTCTAATAAACACTTGTATCTTTTATCTTTTTCACAATCTTGGTCTCTTTGCTGAATTCTTTCTTCAAAGAAGACAAGGACTGAGGCCCTTCTTCCAGCTTTTCACTGCTGGAATCAATCTGTCAGACTTACTGTTGAGCTGCGCCCACAGGCCTGCAAGCCATGGACTTGTCCAGTCTCAAGAGCCCAGAGTCAGCAACAGAGACATCAATGGTGTAATGGATGAGAGGGACCTTACATGTCTGAAGCGAGGTCTTGGAGCGACACCCCGCTGTGTGTGGCAGACAGAAGGCAGGACAAGGCAGTAGTCTTCGCTCCCGGGGTAATAGAGAGATTACTAGTTATAGGGGACTTGACGTCAGGATGGCTCATCAGTTAACAGGGAAACCAGCAAAGGGGTGCACCCCTCATGGCTCCTTTGGTAAACTATCATAGTTGAAATAGTTCTGATCTAAAGATTAGAACAATCACTAGCTAGGGCCAGGGTAAGTACATAGGCATTTACTGATTAGGCTCTATGATTAAGAGGGAAGGTCAGTCAGGTGAGTAGGGTGTAGGTGAAGCAGGGCCTGGCCCAGCAGGGGATGTACAGAGAGCAAGAGAACAGCCATCTTGGGTGGCCTGACCATACACTTATATATCCGACTCCAGTTTCTTTCCTAACTTCCGACTTGGAAATCCAAATGCCTACATAGTATCCCAATAAATCATTCATAGACGTTTCAAATTTACTGTATCTAAAAACTAACTCATAGTTTCATATCCTCCCATCATTTCTCCCCATTTTAGTAAGTGGCAAGTCCCTTCTGCCAGGTTCTCAGCCCAAAACTCTTGGTCTCATCCCGGACTTCTCTCTCTTTCTCTTACACCCTACCTCCAAGCCATCAGCAAACCCTGTCAGTTTTACTTGTAACATATTTAGAATCTGTTCACTTTAAAATTATTACTTATTGCTGGAAGGGATGAGTGAGTGGATGAGTGGAGGGTACAATCTGTGTTTGGATGGGCGACAGAGGGTACAGTCTGTGTGAAGGTACAAAGAAAAATTAGCTCTTTAGTGAATTTAAATGTCGTTGGGGGAATTCCCTGGTGGTCCACTGGTAGGACTCTGCGCGTTCAATGCCGAGGGCCCAGGTTCAATCCCTGGTTGGGAAACGAAGATCCCATAGGCTGCGCAGTGTGGCCAAAAACTAAAAATTAAGTGTGGTTGGAATAAAAGTGTATGGGGGAGAGGAGTGGTGTGAAATCAGGTTAGGAGGGTAGGCACTTGTCCATCTAATGCCAGGCCCTTGTGTTAAGGGGTCTGAATCCTACCCCAAATGCTTCCAAAAATCACTGAATGATTTTGAGAAAAGGAATGACACAGATTTATACTTTAGAAAAATCTATCTGTGGGCTTGTGGGAGATGAACTGGAGGGAAGCCAGAGCTAGGCAAGAAGGCCCAGTGAAGACTATCTGAGTTAATTCGGTTAAGTGTTGAAGGCCTGAGATATGCTGTGGGTACCAGGTAAACTCACCAGATGTCCTCCATAAAAATACCAGGCACCACAGCAAGCCTGGAGGGAGATGTCAGTTCTGCAAAATATTTGCTTAATTTAAACAATATCTTATGTATCATTAATAATATTCACTTACTTTTGTCCAACTTTTCTACCTTTTTTTTTTTTTTTTAAGAAACATCTTTTTCCTTACAACAACTTGCAAGAAATGTTAAAGGAAAGCAAGGCAAAGTTTTCAAAACTGTTTCATTCTACGGGGTCAGAAGTGCAATACCAGAACGGGTCAAACCAGCTAGCCAGCAAGACTACCAAGGGGATGGGCATGAGAGTTAGGGTTAGGGAGAAAGGACTAGTTTGCTCTTAAAATGTGTTCTCCCCTCTGCATCTTCACGTAGCGGTGATGTTTGCCACCAGCCTCATATGTTTCTCCTTCCCCCCAAATGGTAAGAATTTCTTCATTGGGAAAGCAGCTGCCTGTGGCCCTGGGAGAGTGTTCCAACGTCAGTTAGATTCAGACTGGGGCCCAAGGGGAGCCCGCAGAGGAAGGGCTCAGTCACATGATCCAGTGACGGGGGGAGAGAAAACAGAGAAGCCGTGGGTGGCACTGAGCTGATGCAAAGCTCTCCCGTGCCCAGCACTCTCTTCTCTGGGAAGAACTGACCCATCTACTCTTCCTTCTGGGAATACCAACAGCAGAAGCAATAAGACTTCATCTTGTTTCTTGCTGAAGAGGCTTTGGGAACTGTGTTTACTGTGTGTTATAAAGTGTGGTTCCTCGCTAGCAACTCAGAAATGAAAACTGTAGTGCAATGGGTTCTTTAGCTCCTAATTTTATCAAAAGGCTGGGGAGAAGGAATCATAGAATGACTGGTCATTCCCTCAGGAGTGAAGGACGGAGGCTGAGAGATGCTCTTTCTGGACCAGACAAGCAAGAGTTTCCCAGAGTCCTTTGGAGAAAAGCAGGCCATGGCAGATCATGGGACCTTCCTGAGCTTGGGGTCCCATTGTATTTCGGTTTCTGATAGGAAATCTTTAAAAACAGGACCAGAGAAGGACTGTTAGAAAGAGCAGCCTGGGACAGAATTGGGAAGTAAGTTTATATTTGTTTTTCTATTATTGGGCCACAGATTACCAAAAAGCAGCTCAGAACAACACACATTTATTATTTCACTTTCCATGGGTCAGGAGCCTGGGTCTTCTGCTCAGGGTCTCACCAGGCTGCAATGACCGTGTTGGCCAGGGCTGCAGTCTCACCTGGAGCTCAGGGTCCTCTTTCAGGTTCACACGGAACCCATTTCCTTGCAGCTATAGAGCTCACCGTGGCTGGCTTCCTCAAGGCTAGTAGGTGCATCTCTCTTCTCTGCCCTCTGACCTTCTTTTAAAGGGCTCACCTGATTAAATCAGGCCCACCTGAGGATAATCTCCCTTTCTGTTAACCTAAATCAATGGATTAGGGACCTTAATTACATCTTCAAAATCCCTTCCCCTCTGCCACATAACATGACATAATCACAAGAGTAACATCCCATCACTTTCGGCATTTTCTATTTGTTAGAAGCAAATTACAGGCCCCACCCACGTTCAAGGGGAGGGGATTATATAAGGACATGGGTCCTTGGAGGTCATCTCAGAATTCTGCCTGCCACAGAGTCCAAGAGCTTCTGGAGAAAACAGCCCTTCCGTGAGGGGTGACTGGAGTGGATGAAAATTTCATGAGATCAGAACTATTCGTTAAAGAGTTCACATGGATCTCTCACTGTAATGGGTTGAACAGTGCCGCCTACCAAAAGGTATGTCAACCAGAACCTCAGAACGTGACCCGATTTGGAAGAAGGGTCTTTGCTGATATAATTAAGGCAAAGATCTTGAGACGAGATCATCCTGGATTAGAATAGGCCCCAAATCCAAATCCGATCTGTCCCTTACAAAGACACAGCTGTGCTTTTCTATGAGACAGGAAAGGAGAGGACACACAGGGATACTGGGGGAAAGTGAAGACAGAGGTAGACGTCAAAGCTATGTGTCTGTAAGTCCATGAAAGCCAAAATTGCCACAGCCATCAGAGGCTGGGAACGGGGCCTGGAATGGACTCTCCTTCAGGGCCTCCGGAAGGAACCAGCCCTGTCAACACCTTGATTTCAGAGTCCTGGCCTCCAGAACTGTGAGAGAATGAATTTCTGTTGTTTTAAGACTCCAAGGCTGTGGTCACTTGTTGCGGCGGTCTTGGGAAACGAGCACGCTCACTGTCCCCATGTGAGTTAATGTCCAGGAGATGGGCTTGGTGGCCACAGGTACGACGCGAACTCAGACTCTACAGAAATGCCAGTTCCCAGAGATGCCCTAGGGGAACCAAAGCAAGGCAGCCTTGTAAGCCAAGCCACGTTCATTACAGAATGTAGGAGATGTCCGTTCATTGTTATCCTTTTGTTGCCTCCCTTCACTGATGAATGTGTTTGATTCAGCAGCTATTAAAAAAAAAAAAAAGCGAAAACAACGGTAGCTTAACAGGATAGACATTTATTTCTCTTTCATTTAAGAGTTTTAAACATAAGCAGTTCAGGGCTAAAAAGATGACTTCACACCGTTGGACACCCAGGCTCCCCATGTCTGGTTCTTCTGCCGTTGGCAACACGTGGTTGCCATCTCATGACCCAATGTGGCTGCTTCAGTTCTTACCATCACATCTGCATTCCAGCCGGCTGGAAGTGGACAAGCGGACATGGGGGATACACCCTTTCCCTTTCAGACGTGGAAGCTGCACACTTCAATCAGCTAGGACTTAAGTCACTTAGTCACACCTAGCTGCAGGTGAGGCCGCAATGTGTTTTTAGGGAGGCCACGTGCCCCAATAAAACTTAAGGGTTCTGTTACTCAAGGAAGAAGGGAAGAATGGAGAATGGACAGCAAATTCTGCCCACAGGAGACAACAAACACAAAGTCTGACTTGACGAATCGCCTCTCAAATCTGGGGCCCAGGGAGATGGGAGAAAAGGCTCGTAACTGGAAATCCAGGAGTGCATAGCATGCCCACTACCCTTCTGACTGATTATAGGATGAAACAGAGCCTGGGAAATGTGGGTTTGAGACAGCAGTAATAAGATGAGCGTGGAGAGTTAAAAGTGTTCCTGCTTCCCCATCACACCCTCAGCTGTGGGTAGAATTGCGTCCCCCTAAAAGAGATGTTGAATCTTAAACTCTGGTACCCCAGAATGTGACCTTATTTGGAAATAGGGTCTTTGCATGTATAATCAAGTTAAAATGAAGTCTTACGGAATTATGCTGGGCCCTGATCCAATGGCTGGTGTCCTTATAAGAGGAGGGAAATTTGGACACAGACACACGGGGGAGAAAGCCAGACAAAGACGGAGGCAGAAGTTGCAGTGAGGCAGCTATGAGTCAGGCGACACCCAGGCTTGCTGGCAGCCACCAGAAGCTACAAGAGGCAAAAGGGGATTCTTCCCCCAGAGCCTTCGGAGGGAGCATGATCCTGCCAACACCTTGATTTTGGACTTCTAGCCTCTAGAACTGAATAATTTTCTGTTTGTGGTGATTTGTTATGGAAGGTTTAGCAAACTAATATACCATCTCCCTCTTCCGGTTCCTTAGGGTACATTCTCACAAATGTACCATAAAGCACAGACATCTAAAAGTGCCCTCTCTCTTAAACCTTCTGTCCATCCTTAAAATGACCTCATTATAAATGCTGCACCCCAATGGTAGGGTGAGCCAAACCATGACCAAAAGGTCAGGCACAGGCCAGATCAGGGTCTGATCGTGAAAAGAGAGCTGGAGGGGGAGGTGTACAGTGACATGGAGGTGACACCAGTGGAATCAGCCTGAGGTAGGGATGAACCTGTGGAAGAAAGACCAGGCAGGACATGCCCACAGTGACCAAAGGCAAGTGGGTCCAAGATCCAGGCTGTCAACAGAAGCAGGACCAAACAAAGACCAAAGCCAGGAGACCTGGGACTAGTCCGAGCTCCATACTCTATGACACCCCTTACACTGGTGGAGCCCTTTCAGTTTCCAAATCTTTTCACATACAGCCTCTCATCTGAGCTGCAAAACCAGTGTGCAGGAACTGAGTAGAGCAGTAATATAATCTGCGTTTGATTCACAGGCAAACAGAGATGTTAAATCACTTGCTCTGTGTGACTGATGGTGAGCAGCGAGTGCAGGGAAAAGAACGTGAACTTGGGAGCCTGGTAGACTGGGTTAGAATCAGCACAGCAAGCTCTTTGATTTCTATGCAGCTGTATTTTTTCTTTGTTGTCACTACAACATAACATTTGGAGAGCACCTCTTAGAGTGTTGGCATATTTATTGATGGGTCATTCCCTTCCTTCCTTTTTTATTTGTTTTTTCCAGCTCCAAATTCCGTGCAGTGTTGCCTTTCATTGACTAATCTTGGCTACTCACAATTCACCTCTCTAGAAGTCAGTTTCTTCATCCATTTTATCAAAGGATTGGGCTAAACCATTCCTAGGGTCTCTTCAAGTTTTTGCAAGTCGGGGCAACTTGCAAACTCTGTCCACACCTGTTGTACCTTAAACCGCCGTCAGGGGGCGCCTCGCACCGCTTATGCCTTGGATGGAGCGCAAAAGCTCTGCATAAACGCTGACGCTGCAAAGCTCTGCCTAGGGCTCCCCAGAGGTCGATGAGAGCCAGCCGTCCCAGTCACCGTCATTCCCCTTCTAAAGGCAAGAGAGGAGAGAAAGGGTTATTCTCCGTTTATTTTATAGATGAGGAAACTGAGGAATGCATTCTGATTTTCCTTAATCCCATAATAGGATGAGCTATGAAAGAGTCGATGGCCCTATGGAGTTTCTGCTCACCAGACAGTTGAGCATCATCTTCAACTGCTCACTCATTGGCCTAAGGCAGACTGTCCGCAGGGCGTTTGGCAGGGGGCTGGGGCGGGCATTAGCAGATCTGTACCCCCATTGCCGGCTCCCATTTTTTCCCGGGACAGACACACAAACAAAGACATACTCCCTCCGCCAAGAGGGTCTGAGAGGGAGCCTGGATCTCTGGCTTTTAGGATGGAACCATAAAGGAAACTGTTTCCATGGCCTTCACCTGTGGCCCCAGGACGACAGGGAGAAGCCGCTCAACTCTGTAAGGGTGGAGGGATGAAGCTGGTGTGGAATGATAGCCCCGTGACCCCCCACAAGGACCACAGCCTGCACTTACCATCACTCCCCAGAAGAATCTACCACGGGGAGAGTCCTAGGAATGTCTGTTATCAACCTCCCCCTCCCCCTAATTCTGCCTGCCCCTCAGCAGTCCCACCTGATGCAGAAGGAAGGTTCCCTCTGAAAAACCCAGTCACCCCTCATCCCCTGTCCTCCAGCTCAGCACTCTCCCCTCCCACCCCCTCCCTTCTGCCCTCGCCCAGGCAGGGCCAGCTGTTCGGAGGGCCCTTTTGTTCTCACTGGTCTGTAAGTCTTCACACCCCTAGGCTCCGAGGATGGTTGTTTGTCTTCCACAGTTCAAGTGCTCAGGCCCCGTGCTAGCGCTAGCGCAGGCATCCGAGGATGTGAATCTCCCTCAGCCTGACACCTGGCCACAAGTTGCTGGAGAAATGACCAGAGCAGCCGGCTGCCTCTCCATCAGATGCACCGGTGACAATTCGCAGACGGAGTCCACAGCCCCGGTGCAAGTCTAAACACTCCAGAGGAGACTGACAGCTGGCACGCGGGTGCACGTCGAGCAAGACTCAAGCCTTATGAGCCCCTGGTTAGCGTTCAAGGACAATTCTACACACCAGAGAGCGCTTCCTCCCCCAAATCATCATTCTCCCCTGCCTAGCACTGACTGGGCAACTTCCCTCGGCGATGCTGGGAAAACATCCAGAGATGGGGAGAGAGCAGAGGCCCTCTTACGTGTCCCCAGGCTAAAGCAAGACTTCCCTCTCCCCTAAGGGTTCAACAGCTGCGTCCTTGCCAAGAAACTTTCCATACCTCAGACACCAGAGATCTCACACTGCTCTGGGTCGAAAAGGAGAAAGTCATCTTTGGTATGCAAACATCCTAAGAAATAAAACCTGGACTCCTGGACAAGAGAAAGCAGCTGAGGCCAGGTCCAATTCACAGGCAACACCCATATGTGGAAACCCACCGAGCTCATCCTCAGGGCAGATCAGAGTTTCATATCCCTGGAGCCCCTGAACTTAGCCAATGCATTGTATGCTGCTGTCATCCAGCACGTTAAACTTTTGACGATTTAGTGGCTATCCTGTAAATCAGCCCGGACAATGGTCTCTGCTTATGGAGTTTAAATAAGAACCCACAAAATGACCCGGGGATTTCCACAGCAATTTTCTTTCCATAGGAAACTGCCTGATAAAGTTCATAAAAATTGAAATAAGGGGAAAAAATTATCAACGAGCTCAAACTTGTAACTCCAGTTTTACTTCAAGAGGATAATATAGGGCTTCCCTGGTGGTGCAGTGGTTGAGAGTCCACCTGCCGATGCAGGGGACACGGGTTTGTGCCCCGGTCCGGGAAGATCCCACATGCCACGGAGCGGCTGGGCCCGTGAGCCATGGCCGCTGAGCCTGCGCATCCGGAGCCTGTGCTCCACAATGGGAGAGCGGGAGAGGCCACAACAGTGAGAGGCCCGTGTACCGCAAAAAAAAAAAAAGAGGATAATATAGATTCCTGCCTCTCAGGAAAGGGAGTGGGAAGGTAGAGGTTATGGAAAGGATGGGAAATGTCAGAATATATTTATAACGCAAGACATCTGCCCAACACAAACAACGGTCTGCATGTCCAGACACACACACGTACAGCACCAAACAAAACTGGTTCCTGAATCCACCACCGGCTTATAGCACAAGAGCTCCATATGCCCTGATCCCAGGCACAGCAGCCCCATCCTCCTGTGGACACACTGCTCAATCCCGTGGGTAGAATGGCTTCCAGGAATTTTGGAAAGGGTGGGGAGACAGGAGTGTCAAAGGCTCAAACTCCATCTCCTTCACCCAAACAGACTTCATTTTTCCTTTCATGAGGATTAAGAAGAAAGGGGCAAGGATTAGTCCAAATTTATTGCCTCGGTCAAAAGCCAGCTCTAAGAAGGGAGAAAGTGGATTATGCAAAGAAAACAAATGGAGAGAAAAGAGGACAATGGATACTCTGCATTCAGTAATATTTATTAATTTGATTTTAAAAGGAAAAGAAGGAATCCATTCTAATGGTTCCCCTCCCCACGAACCCCAAGCCCCCCAAACTCTAAAGAAGTCCTTCTGACCCTGCTGTGAGGCAGATCAAAGCCATCCTGTGCCTCGAGTGAGGGAGGCTGGAGCTTAGAGGGCTGTAGTGAGGGAGCCAGGAACCAAACCCCAAACCTTGACCTTTTCTAGCTGCTGCTTCTCAGCCTGGGTCGCCAGGGCCTCCAGTACACTGACTGGTTCATCAGGGTCTGGGTGGCAGAAGGAATGGAACGAGGGTGCTCTCTTTGCCCTATGCACACAGCACTCAAGTGAGCAAGGGGATGGGTGCCCAGGCAAAGCCAGCCCGGCTGCTGCAAGGACAGCCAGACACTCAGGCTGCTGAGGTAGTGGTGAAGTTCAGGGGTGGGGTTTAGAAAACGTCTCTCGGAAGGAGAGAGAGAGAGAGAGAGAGAGAGAGAGAGAATGGTGAAAACCCACTTCGTAAGGGTTCCCCCTCCCAAGCCAGACCCCCTCCCCATCTCATGGCTCAGTGGTCAGGGCAGAGTTTTCCAGCTCGGAAACTCCACAGGGCTCATTCCGAACAGGCCAGAGGCTCTCCAAAGGTTCTGGATCAATGGAGTTGTTTCTTCAAGGCCTAAGAAAGTCCCCAGGAAGCCCTGAAAAAAATGGAGATGAGGTATCTTGGGGTGAGGGGGCAGAGGGTGGGAACAGGAGAGGGAAATGGGTGAAGCTCAGGGACCTTGAGGGGCACGTGCGGTTACACAAAAGCCTCGGGGACCCACCCTGCCACAAAGCCCAACCCAACTTCAACCCGGCCCGGTTCCTACCCGGGAAGAATTCGCACTCACACGTTCCTGAGCCTGTCTAGCCTCCATCCCAGAAGTGGATTCTCACCTTCATAGCTATCAAACCTTTCAAAGAAACCAAAGCTGAGCCCGAGGGCTTTGGGGGACCTCTGGTCTAGTCAAAGCCAGCCCAAGAGGTGGCAAGAAATCTGGGCAAAGAAACAGCTAGAACACCAAAACTAGAGCTGACCAGGCGAGGGGGGCCCTTGGGCACAGCGGGACCCACCCCATCCCGGGCCCCCCCTTGCTCCTGGGGTGGAGAACAACCGGCCCGCCCTCCTTTGCTTCAACCCCAGGGCAGGGTGGGTTGGGATGCGGGAAAAGAAAGGGCCCTGGGTTCCACTTCGGTTCCCTACTCCATGCCCCACTTCCCTCGATGCAGAGACCCCAGCCCCATCTTCTCCTACCGAACCCCAAGCTCAAAAAACTGAAGGGGCTTCCCTGGTGGCGCAGTGGTTGAGTCCGCCTGCCGATGCAGGGGACACAGGTTCGTGCCCCGGTCCGGGAAGATCCCACATGCCGCGGAGCGGCTGGGCCCATGAGCCATGGCCGCTGAGCCTGCGCGTCCGGAGCCTGTGCTCCGCAACGGGAGAGGCCACAACAGTGAGAGGCCCGCGTACCGCAAAAAAAAAAAAAAAATTGACCGAAGGAGATACAGAATGCTTCCTGATCCCGAGCCGTCAACCCCTTCGCCTTGGCTACCTACCAGTCGAGCGGTGGGCGCTGCCTGGATTCTGCGGGGCTGGTCAGGGTCGCGGGGGCGGGGAGGCGGCGGCGGGGTGCTCCTCGGGCCGGCAGCGGCCCAGCAGGCGGCGGAAGGCGCTGCGAAAGTCAGGGCTGCGGCAGTAGATGAGCGGGTTGAAGGCAGAGTTGGCATAGCCTAGACAGTTAAGGGCGAGGAAAGCGGGGTCGGGCACTAGAGAGGGGCCTCCGAGGGCGCGCAGCACGTTGACTACAAAGAAGGGCAACCAGCAGAGAGTGAAGTTTCCCATGATGAGCCCCAAGGTGAGCAGGGCGCGGTGTTCCCGCAGAGGCAGAAGGCGCGCCGGCCGCCGACCGTAGGAGGGCACCCCTGCGGGCCAGGCGCACGGCCCCGCCGGGGCGGGGCACAGGGAGCAAGACCGAGCCCGCGGAGACTCCTCTGGCGGGAAGCGGCCCAGCTCCCGGAGCAGAAAGCGCAGCTGGCGCGTAGCCACCGCGAAAAGTCGCGCGTAGACGAAGAGCATCACCAGGAGCGGAAAGTAGAAGGAGACGGAGGAGAGCGGCGCGTAGGGCATGTTGGAGGCGAAGGCGCAGCAGCGCGGATTGCAGTGGCAACGCTGCGCCTCGGCGTCGGCCCCGACGCGCCACCATTTGCTCATGATGGGCGCAAACGACACCAAGGCGGACACGACCCACACCGGGACCACTGCTGCCCGGGTTCGGCGTTTGGTGACCAGCGCGCCGTAGCGCAGCGGGTCGGTCACGGCCAGGTAGCGGTCCACCGCCAAGGCGCACAGGGTTTCCATGCTGGCGGTCACACACAGCACGCCCACCGAGGTCCACACCTCGCAACCGGTGGCGCCCAGGGGCCAGTGGCCGGCACTACCAGGAACCCCACCACCAGGTCGGCTGTGGCCAGCGAAGTCACGAACATGTCGGTCATGGTCTGGAGTTTCGGCGTCCGGGCGATGGCCACGATTACCAGCAGGTTGCCCCCCATGGTGGCCAGCACCGCCAGCGCCAACAGAGCCCCGCTAGTGCCACCGCCCACGGCACCCCGGGCAGCCCGCTCGCGTTGGCAGTATTGGGCGCCCGGGTAGGGACATCTGGCCATGGGGCCAGAGGGCTGTTCCCGTGCAGCCAGGGAGCCATTCCTAAGTCGCGCGCGGGGCGGGAGGGAAAGAGGGAAGGGGTCTCGCAGCTTACCCGGCTCAGGGGACGGGGCAGCGGGCCGTGGGAGCGATTCCCCCGGCCTGGGCCATCCTCCCCAGTCGACCCGCGAGAACGCACAGCCTGCCCCCGCTCCCACGCTGGGTGCCACCACTGGGGAGGGGGTGGGAGGAGGAGTGGCGGCCCTTAAAGGGGCAGCGGCCAATAGTCGCGACGCTCGGCATCTGTAGGGAAATTGGGGCGTGCGTAGGGAAGCACGACGGATGCTTGACTCCTCCATTAGCCAAATCCGGAGTAAGATGTGTAAGAGGTAGGTCACGCCGTGTGTTCTCTGCCACGATGTGTCCGCTCCTGCCATGACCGGCGCCTGCGCTGACACACTCAGCGCAGCGCTCCAGCGGCGTGGGTTTTCTGCACCAATTTCCCCGGAAGGTCCAGCAGCAACTCTCGAGGAAGACACAGGAGAAGCCCCCAACGCTTTACCTTGTCGGAGGAAAAGGTAACCCTCCCAAGGCAAACAAGACGACCCACAGCAGCCCCTCTTCTACTTGGGTGTCCCTCCCCCTAAGATATTGTAAGTTAAGTCATAGAGGGCAGCCAGGGTCTTCCCTCTTCTCCCAAGACCCCCTTCCAATGAGATCTGACCCCCTTCGCTTCTATCCACTTACCCTCCCTGTCGCTCTAGTTTCCCTTCTTTTTTTTTTTTTCCTTTTCAAATCTTCCATTTTCCAGGAGTCTTTATCATCGCCTCCTCATTTGAATTTGGATTTGGCCTCAGGTAGCCTAAGATGCTGAGAGTTTCCATTTCTCCGTCTTCCACATTGCCCCCTCCACACACTTTCCACCAAGAAGCTTCTAGGTGAGCCCCTTCTCTTAAAATGCTCCTGTTGTAGAGACGTGTTAAAAATGAACAAATGGGCTCCAGGTTGAGGCTTATCCACCATCACCCCCAGCTCTCCACAAATCTTCCATCACCATGGCAAAGTCTTCTCTCTACTTCCCTGAAGATTTTATTCACGAACATTTGAAAAGTAGAAGACACTGAGCTGAGGAATCCACACATTGCGTCTCGGAGCGTGTGGAACCACAGGCCTGGTATTTTAGTGTCCGTTGAAGTCTCTCTTACAATCCCATCAGAGGATCCCTTCACCTGAAGAAGCCCAGGGCCTCCTCCCTTCCCCTTTCCCTCACCCACACTGATGCCTGGTTCCCAGCCCGGCTCTCCCGGCGGCTAAGCCAGTTCCTCTCAAAGTGGGTGTGGGGAGATTAGGCTGCAAAACAGTGTTCAAGCTGAAGGGCAGGAAGGTACAACACCTTTATTAAGTCCTGTCGATCCGGAACCTTGAAACTTCTTGCCTCCTCCCCTGAAACAATGGGACAAAAGGGGGTGAAATTATCATGGAAAATGCCTCTGGTCTAAGCAATCCCTCTGGGAGGCTGAGCCAGGGCCTGGGAGTTAGAGAGACTGGAGGGGAAGTGAGGACCGAAAATTATCCTCAAGGAAAAAGAACCCAGCTGCCTACCCACGAGCAGGGTTGGTCAGTGGCTCCCAAGCAAATGCCTTTTGTGCCCATGCTGTACCCCAGGCAGGCCTTTGGATCCATGGAAGTGCATCGTGGGTAGAGGTGGAGAGGCCCGGCCTCTACCCCCAACCTCCAGTCACTACCAAGCTTTGCAGGCCCCAGCTGGCCAGAGTCTTGACCATGGCCGCTTGCTGACCATCAGGGCAGTCACTCCCAAGCTGGGTTTTGCAACACCCCAGAGAGTGTTGCCAGTTACCACAAAGGGGTGACAGAAGATTCTCCAAGAGTAATCTCTAAAACAAATCCATGTCATGCAGCAGGGTTTTTTGTTTTTTGTTTTTTCCAGGGTGCCAGAGTTGGTGGGGGGAAGGGAGAGGGGTGCCAGGAAGTCAAGCGGCTTCAAAGGCTGCTGTTGCGCTAGGGGTGACCTTGTTAATCTGAGGAACTGTGTAAAAGTGTTTACATTTCAAAAAAAGACAAGATTTCCCAAACCACGTGAGCGTGCCTGCGTTTGGGAAATGATGAGGCCCATAACCAAAGGAGACTGTGAGGAGAGGAATTAGGGCCCCTGTTAGTGGAGGCATTTAGGAGCCAGCAGAGAGCAGTGGCCCAGCACCTGGAGAGCTTCCTTCTTTGCTCTGGCCCATCTCCTATGCCACCTTTCTCAGTCTGGCCTCCCCACCTCACCGACTACCTTGGGGCCCACAGGGAGAAGGGGTCCATCCTTTACCACTTTGGTCTCTTTTTTATCGTGCTTTTGTGTTTCTTACTTTTCCCTTTTGACTAGGTGAGGCATCCACGTTATTCAGCCATCAAAATATACAAAATGTGTGTAATACAAAGTTGCCTTCAGCCCGGTTTTCAACTCCCTAACAGATAACCACCATTAATTAGTCTCTTGTTTATCTTTCCAGTAATATTTTATATATAAACAGGTCCATGCAAATACATATGGCTTTGTCATTTCTTTTCGACCCAAATAGTAGAAAAATATACCGACTGTCCTGAACGTTGCTTGTCTTACCTTAGCAATATATATCTGTGACGCTTCCATACCAATGCACAAAAGCCTGCCATTTTTAGTATTCCATTGGATGGTTATACCATAATCTATGAAACCGATCGGCTATTAATAGACATCTAATTTACTTCCCATCGTGCCTAGTAGATGACGTTGCAATGAATCACTTGTAATCGTGTCGTTTCACACGTCTGTGAGTATATTTGTAGAATAAATTCCTGTAAATAGAATCACTATATCATGCGGTATATAGTTTACAAATTTAAAAGGTATTACCAGATTTCCCTCTCCAGGCAATGTACCCACTTACCCTCTTGCCATCGCTTCTGATGGCCAGCGAGGGGTGGGAGGCAAGTGACCCGCTGCTTTGGGAAATCACCCAAACAACTGGCCCCAGGGAGTTAGGCTGTCAGGTCTGTAGAGGTCATCCAACTGTGGAGAGAAGCGTGCATGGCCCAGAGAGAGCTTTACCCTGGCCCTGGGCCCCCAGATGACCTTTGTTCTGTGCCCTTGGAGGTAGACTGTGCATGCGGACCTCTGAATCTGCCGAGTTCAGGCCCCTAGGCTGCTGCTGTCTGTGTGTTGAGGGCTCCAAGGATGCGGGTCATCCTGTCGTGTCAGAGGCCAGTTGTGTGATGGTCTGTGATTTAGAAAATGGGGTGAGCAGAGCCAGAAAGAGGCAGCAGCTGCCCTGCCCCATGGGCAGAAGTTCTAGGAGCAGGGTGTGCTCTCCTGCCTTTGTTGGTTTTAGCTCCTGGTCTGTCCTCCGAGCCTCATGACCGGGTCCATGCATGTGCATGTGGCTGTGTGCCTGTTTATGTGACAGGGTAGGAGGAAGCCTAGCTCAGGCGACTGAGCCCTGTACTTTGTCCAAGACTACGTGTGTTCGTGTGTTCAAGCTTTCCCCTCTCATCCTGTCTCTCTTCTTCCACTGTAAGCGTCCATGCCATGCCGTGCTTGAAACGCTGTGCGTAGGTGTGGCCTCTGAACAGCCGGCTTGGTGTTCGCTGTTTCTCCTTTTGTTGCAATTAGTCCAGGAGGGTAGAATGATGAGCTAAAAGGGGTCTGAAAGATCAAATCCAACACCAACATTCTACAGAATTAAAAAGCTGAGGTCCGGAGAGGAAACTGAGGTTGGACCATAATCTCACAGTGAAGGTTCATTCCCAGCAGGAGTACAGGCATCTGAGGAGCCGGGTCCTCTTCCCAAGCGCCTCCCCCACACTCCCTGGCAGTCTGCGGCCGGTGCCACCTGCCAGCCTGTCCTCTGGAGGGGAGGCAGGGCTCGGAGAGGACCACCGCCCTGCCCCCAGAGCTGAAAAGAAGCCCCCAACCTAGCACTTTCCTTGTCTTCTACAACATGCCGTGGCTACTCTCCACACATCTGCTGTTTCCCAAGGCAAGGAGCTTGAAGGAGAGGCAGGGAAGGAACCTCCATCTTCAGGAGCCAAAAGGTCCTCTTGTGCTAAGAGCTGGCCGGGGACAAGAGCCTTATATTCAGGCAGACACAGGGGTGGACGCTTAGGATTTTCTTGCAGTGCCTTTTCTCTTGTTCCTGGTCATCCATGAAAGAGGGGATCAGAAATGTTTCTTTCCCTCCTGCAGTAGGAAGAGAAATCCATGTTCTAATCTCTTTGAATAGTGATTAAAATCCTTGACTATTAGAGAGGCTGCTCCCCAGGGACAGGACAAGGTCACACAGCCCACCTGCAGCCCAGACAAGAGTTTCTTGGGGTTCAGGAAGGCACCCTCTCCCAGGGAGGTCGGGGAGCGATCAGGAGGGTGGGAGAGGGAGAGAGCAGGAGAAGGTGCTCACCAAGCCTCAGATCATGCCTTCCGAGTCACCCCTGGATACTGCTTCCGCTGATTTCTGTGCAGCCTGTTTCTTCGATTGGAAGCCTGGAAGAGGGCAGATCGCCATGCTGCTTGCATCTGTGGTCTCTTCCCTCCCTCTCCCTGGGAAGGAAATCTCCAACAAGGCTAGAGCCTGTCTGGCACTCAAGCTGCACGGTCTCTGGCCTTTCTCTCACATCAGCCCACAGTTTTCACCGGGAACAAGTACTGAACAAGGAGTATCCGGTGCTTGGAAGAAAAGGGAGCAAAACAAGAGGACGGTTTCTCCTCTGACGGGGAGACCCACGTCTTGCATATGAGACCCTCCAGTTAAGACGGAGTGAGGAGCTTTCCCGTCTGGAAAAAGGAAGGAAGCTGAGTCCCGCAAACCCTTTTTTTTTTTTTTTAATAAATTTATTTATTTATTTTTATTTATTTTTGGCTGCGTTGGGTCTTCATTGCTGCACGCGGGCTTTCTCTAGTTGCAGCGAGAACTAGAGAAAACTAGTTTTCTGGTTGGGGGCTACGCTTCGTTGTGGTGCGTGGCCTTCTCATTGCAGTGGCTTCTCTTGTTGCGGAGCATGGGCTCTAGGGGCGTGGGCTTT